GAGGTAGAAACAAATTAATAGATCACGACGTTTCGATCGCAACACAAGCAACCGTCATCAGTTGTGAAACAAACACAGCAGGAGAACCGCTGTGTTTGTTTCACACCTGATGACGGCCGTCGTGATCTATTATTTTTTCTACCTACGTGACTTTACCGAAAGAACCAAAGAGTATGGGGTAGGTGAACAAGAAAAAAATAATCCGCAGCATTTAAGAAAGAAAAAAACCCAGCCAAATTGATATTTTGACTATGTTGCACCTCAACAATGTTATACCAGTTAATCATTTGTTGCCAGGGGAATGGCTATTATGCCGGCTTGTTCATTATCGCATGCAGATACGCAACATAATGCGGTGAACTGTGCAAAATTATAATGCTTTAAAAACACACACACACAAGCTTGCTCTTTTCTTCCCGTCGCATCGGTAATTACCGGCAGAAAAAGCTTCCTTTCACACCTTCTGTGCTGTTCTTTACAGCGGTTTCTAATGGACAGATCGGAATAGAAAGCGCTGCGCATATAAAAGGAATTGGTGAGTATTGCACCGATAATTACAGCTGAAGATGAATAGAGTTGCACGTAACGCATGCAGCGGTGGCGCGGCGGTTCGTGCGATGCGCTGTAAACTCGGGCGCCCGAGTTCGACTCCTGGTCACGGCTGACATCAGTGACAGATGATGTCTGAGCTGGTCCAGTAGCACTACACAACTGCACCCTTTACCAACCAGCGCTGACTAGCATGGTGAAGTATGGTAAACAACCCCAATAATCGACACACCGTTTAGAAGCCTTCATCCAGAAGTGGATTAAGAAGGCGCTGTAAACCAACCACATTTAATCAATGGAGATATTTTGGTGCTCGGTAACTTTTCCAGCAATTCCCTGAATCTGAGTATCATGTTAGTGAAATATGTTTTGCCTCTAAAAAAAATACTTTTTTAAGCAGCATCGTCAAGTTAAAATTGCAATATAAACGACATGGTGACTTTAAATATTGCCTTTAAAAAGCGTGTTGCTTATTTTCCTCGAACTATATTCCTCTAACTATTCCAACCGTGTTTTCTGTTTCGTGTCAGGAGATAACAACATTTCCATCCGGCAGTCTACAGCTAGCAATGAACCATGTTGAAGAAGAGCCGACCGTGGATATCATCAGTACCATTCTGCACTGATCAGTGTGGTAAAGTGTGGTAAAGTATGGTCAAATAATCTCCATGCTCAAAACGACGTCGGGAGAGGTCTTCATCCAGAAGTGGATTAATGAAAAACCTCTTTGATATTAAAAGCATATCATTAACTAGAGGGTATTCCCAGATCAAAACACAAACCCAGATACTAGTTTGCCTACATTATGCGTGGCGATTGCCATTGTGTACATATTTGGAGTGAGTGTAGTGATTGGCAGGATTGGAAGGGACCTCGAGGTCACCATCAGCCATGACCATGGTCAACCCACTGCTGGTTGAAGGCCTCCATTCACCACAAAGCAAATCAGCAATGGTCTGGTAAGGTTGGCCCTTGAGTTAGACCACCTCACACTCAGCACAACTCAATTAATTTCAACATCTGATTGAAATTGAGATTTACGGTTGGGCCAAGTGTGCAATTGCCAAACTCCAGACCGGTTAATATGGAAAATAAGAATGTGACTTGTGACCCAGTCAAACTCTAATATGACATCATGATATAAATAAGATTTTGCTCTACTTAGCACGTTTGGACTTATTTTGCATTCGAGAATGCAACTGACAATACACGTTAGCTCTTAATTCATCACTCTGCTTCTAATGCGGAATGCATCTGTTATGACGAATGTGGTATCACCACGCCTATGTCAGTCGCTGTGAGCAATGAGGTAAAAGATTGGTCGAAACACAAGCATCCTGGCCAATTGTGCCCTTGAGCATATCATAATTGTTCAAGTTGGCAACGTACATGAACACTAAGTCTTCCCTAAAGGCTCTTGCTTCGCGCTCCAGCAAACAAGGCCTTCGGTCATAACTCTCAGCCGGCCTTTGCTCGATGCGTACTTGCTGCATCTCTGCTGCTGCTGCTTGCATCGTCTGGAAGTCCCTTCTTGTGGCTGTCTGCACTTCTAAGAGAACCATCCGCCAGTTCTCACCAAGGCTCAAGACTCTCCTCTCCTGCCTGGGACTATCTGTGTATGTAAGTCGAACTTCTTTCACATGGTACATAGCCATCCGTGCTAATCGGAGGTTCGGGGGAAGGACAACAAACAAAAAAAACAAAAAGCAGTTCTACAGAAATGAGTTTTCAATGTTGATTGCAAAGTGCATAGCTCCAGTGTGATTCCTAATATCGGAAGGAAGAGTGTTCCAGGCAGTCACAGAAGCGCATCTGAAGGCGAGCGATGCAGTGACCGTCTTTATTTGATGGCCAGGAAAAAGCCGCTTTCATGGAATGCCGCCCTTTAAACTTTTACCGCACCAGCATATCAGCTGACTGTTTGGCCTGTAGACATCTACCCATTATTCCCTACTCCGAAGAGGCCCCTTCAGTGTGTGAACGTATATTTATTATGCTCACAAAGCAAAGTTAATATGTTAAATCACAGATTCAGACTTAAAAACGGAAAGGAGGAATATGTGGATTAATTACAAATATCGGGAATTGGTGGCATTGTGGTGAGTGCGCTACACTCTGAACCCGGTGACCTGAGTGTAATTCTCAGCCAGGGCGAACATCAGTGGCGAGTGATATCCGACCCAATTGTGGCCCTGCCCACCCCCCCCCCCACCGACCCATCACCAACCCATAGCGACCAGCGTGGTGAAGTATAGTCAAACAACCCCCGTGGTCGACACAGCAAGGGGAGGCCTTCATCTGGCAGTGGGTTGACATATGGCAGGACATTATAATCATCATGAGTTACCAATAAATAGTACTGTAGTTAATAAATATAATGGGGAAACATGGTATTACATACGTAGTATGGTAATGTTTCGACATGAGTTTACCATAAGATTGATACATGTGGAATGAAATCTAAAGCACCGAACAAAAGCCTCTCTACGCATCAAAACAACATTACGTATCCAAGCTTAAGACAAATCAAACCTAACAAGCTCTGTCACGGCTAATTAAAATTCTTCTTAAAACACTGGGGACTTGAAAAATAACACACAGTGTTGTCGCCTTGCCTCCGCTGACATCCTGATGAAATATTTAATGGCATGATTGATGTGTACATTTACCAGTTTTGGACAAAGCTAAGAAACATTTAATTATTGTCAGATTAGAGTAATCGTTTTGTTGTTCAGTGGTTCTTCAAAGCAAAAAAAAATGGTCTGCACCTGGCGAATGTGTATAGACGAAATGGTCTTTGGCATATAAAATGACCCCCTCAAGTGGAAATGAACCAATCATTACTTACTTCTGGTGATAAAAAGTGCTGTAGAATTTAATTGCCAGTCAAATAGCAGGCCCGTGCGAGTGGAGCCGGCAAGCGCTAATTAATCTGTACCGGGAATGAAAAGGCATTGGTTCTAAAAGACCTGGGACTAAAGAAACACACAAAATTGCCAAAAATCTGTTCTAAGCACAAGTGCCACTCTCCGCTTTCACATGGGAACCAAGTGCTATCTAGCCAGCTGGCCATGCAATCTGTCTGGGCATCACAGCTGTAGCAAAGAGGAGCTAATACATTTTTTTCTTGCAATGTGCAGGGGGGGGGGGCGGGCGGAACCACCCACAATGGCTTACCAATGTAACTATTGTGTTAGCTTTAAAAGAGCGCCGATACATTCAATAACAATTTACATGCGTGCATTTGAATCATTAAGATTACACAGAAAAAAAGGCACAATAGGTTTGGAATTAATAAACTGTTAAGATTTTCGTTTAAAGTATTAACAATCGAACATCAAATTCGCGGATATTTTACCTGCATGGTGGGTGCAATCCCGTGGGCGTAATGTATTTTACTTATTTATTACGTAAAAAAGAAAGCAACTGTGCACTTTTGAACCAGAGTGCAGAGATGTAGACTTCGGAACGTGCACATGTAAACATGAATTAAAATTTACATACGCTAAAACAAGGAAATTAATTATATACCTCTCCATCTGACAAGGCAATTACACAGGCTCATAATGAGCCGCTGCTGCTCCCTACTGCCTGCAGACGATATCGCTTAAAGGCCTGCAGGTAATAATAATCGTTTTGTGATTTGTCACGGATGATGAGACTAAACAATTTGCAATTAGAGGACCAGGTTTGTATGATAACATAGCAAGGACGGTTTAAAGACATCTCTGCACGTGCAGTTAATTTCATAATTAGGGGGTTTGCACGCTGCAGTTGAAGATGATCGTTTATGATTGACTTGGTTGGAAAGCGAATAGCTTCATCCAACGTGCGTCGATCTTTACCCAGGCCGAATTGCTGTACGACGGCACAGTAACGTTTTATATACGGCGTGCAAACAACTTCACCGTCCGTCATCTTCGTCTGCGAAATAATTCCAAAAGGCTATATATATATACAGTCGCCAAGTAATTACGGTTACCAACATAACAAGAGATATGGCCGTTTCCATGGCTTCTCAAAAGCTCAAAGGGCTCTCACCTGGTGAAGGAAAGAACAATGTCTTGCATTGACAATCACTGGGGATGAGACGGAAGGGGACGAGAGGGGGACGAGAAGGAGGACGAGAAGGAGGACGGGAAGGGGGATGAGAGGGGATGAGAGGGGGGAGATGGGACGAGAGGGGGACGAGAAGTGGGATGAGTGGAGATGAGAAGGAGGACGGGAAGGGGGATTAGAAGGGATGAGAAGGGGGAGATAGGACGAGAGGGGGACGGGAAGGGGGATGAGAGGGGATGAGAAGGGGATGTGAGGGGATGAGAAGGGGACGAGAAGGGGACGAGACGGGGACAAGAAAGGGACGCGATTGAGGACCGACGGGGTCCACATAGCACAGAGAACAAGACTCAAACCTACAGCGTTGCCTGGGTGCCGAGTGTTTCCGTCGTTACCTGCGGGGTGTAGCCGAGAATGGCCCACACGTAGCCCATGGTGGCATTCCTCTGGTGGGAGAACTCAAGCAGCTCCGTCTCCTTGCGGTCCAGGGCCACCATGGGGCAGCCGTTGTAATCCCCGAGCAGACGCATGCCTCCCTGAAGCTCCACTACGTCCCACGTGCCTATGCCACGCAGCGCGCTCTGACACTCCTTCAGCTGTTGGTACGAAAGGTGCCCTAAAAGAAACCATTGGGGCAAAAAAAAAAATACTCCTAAATGTTTAATTCATCTGAAAAATTTGCCGGTGATCTGGCCTACATATTTAATTTCAGATGATCTGGAAATGTTTTTTTTTTTCGAATTGATCCGAAGGAGTGAGGTTACAGGAAATGATTTACAAATTGTAAATGTTGTGGGTTTACTCTCCAACACACCGGTGTGCCTAAATAGTAACTAATTGGAATATTTTATTTCCGTGACAACCCTTACTAATGGACCATATCAAGTGGTGGTGGGTTAACGACACATTTACGCAATTTAACCCAGAAAAAAACCCTTAAGGATGTTATGTCACTTCCACTATGTTATGACCGCACATTTGTTCATGTGAAATATCCAGAACCCCAGAAAATCTAAAACAGTCCTTAAACATGGAAAAATCTGAAAATGTTAATCAAAAACTCATCTGTGATATACATACACAGGTGTATAGTTTGTATGTCACGTAAAAATACTTTCTAAAGCATATGTACATGTACAGCTCGTTTTTTTGTGAACCCACTGCTGGATGAGGGCCCCCCCCTCCCCCCCATTGTGGGCTGTGTTAAATATTTTGACCATACTACATCACGCACTGGTTGGTAAAGGAGGGGTGAGTGCTCGTGCCCACAACATCTACTACACCCGTCTTTTGTGCATGGCGGTCACCCACCTAAGCACTACCCAGGCTCAACCCCTGCTTGGTCTCCGAGATCTGATGAGATCAAAAGTATCGCGTTTAATTTGGCTGTCGCCGAACGCAAGGAAACCCGTTATTTAATCAGTTTCTAGAGGTTAGCGAGTTGAGGGCCTGAAACCAGTCAACAATGACTAAACATAAACAAATAAAATTTAATTTGGAGAAATTCTGCTCCGAGGCTTAAAAATGTCAGTTTGCTTGACACGTGATATACACTCTTTGCAAGGCATATAATGGTGTGTCCCTAGTGTGGATAAGGAGGCCTTTTGAAGTGAAAACAGGAAGTAGTTCCAATCTGTCATTTTCCGGGGCTATTCACCGACACAGTGTGATGCACTGTCATCTGCGGAGTTCTGAAATGGAATATTTTCTCTACTCATGACTTGATGGCAAGACCACCATTGTAATAGGATTGGTGAAATAAAATATAAAAGAAAAAATATTTGGCAAGGTTTGCACATTGATTGCCCTCCATATATATTTGCACATTGAGGACAGTGTTATATTTTTTATTTAAAGCTTTCGTAACTGCAGGGATTCATATTCTTGGTTCTTTCAGTAAAGTCACGTAGAAGGGAAACAACAAAATAATAAAAATATAAAACAATAAAATTCTCACCACGTTTCGACTGCAACACAAGCAATCATCATCAGGTGTGTATTATTTTGTTGTTTTTATTGTTTCCCTTCTACGTGACTTACCGAAAGAACCAAGAATATGACAGTGTTATTGATTATTATTTTGGAACATGCGCAAGCAAATGTTCTATTTTTCAGATGACGTGTACAAAATTTGGAATCATATTTACAAACGGTTCTCAGGAAGCCCTGAAATCGCCTGCTCACGCCAACGCTGGCGGAAGGGCCTCGCCCTAAAGGCATCTCTCAGACAGCCCTTCCACAGATGGTAATTAGCCTACTCTTTCACACTGGCTAGACCGCCTTGGATGAGGCCGGGGTTCCCACACTTTGCCCCACCACACGTGACCTACCGATTGGCTAACTGCGGTGTACCCATTGACACTGTCAGGTGGATGTAAGTAGGGGGGAGGGGGGTACTTAAGGAACGTGCTCCATCGTTTCAACTGCCGCGTCAGAAGATTAAATCAGAGCGGCGACCTCTGGACTGCAGTGTGATATCATTACACCATGGCAGCATGGTCTATAACAACATAAACCTTTAACATGCCTTGATCTGTAGAAATCTCACCCGTTATCCAGTACGGTGTTATCGCATCAGTTAAACTTGTAAGGTATGAGTCCTGAAAACAGAGCATGACGCTGTCCACATCTTCTGGCCCAACAACGTCCTCCTCGTGCTTCTGTAACTCAGCTTCTAACTGGCATTTGGGATTAATGAAGATAACCTTATGATACATCTGCTTCTTCTTGATGCCCACACCTTTCTCGACAAGGAAATTCCAAAGATTTTCTATCTTTTTCTGAAAAACAACAAAAAAAACAAAGAATGACCGTACTATTACATAACGCAAATAATTATTTTGTGTTACATATGATATCATTTTGTGTCGAACTGGCACACTTATCTTAAAGAGTGTATCCTTGCCTATAACAACACCAGCATTTATTCAAGAAATCCTGACTGCTGATGAGACAAAACTCGTTCAGCGTTTGCTTTCATTGAACCAAGGCTGCTGAAACTATGCACTCCCAGAAGGCCTTGTGGTTGACGGGAAGCATAAAACATACATTCATTAATTTTACGTGGAGAGACAGATGTATGGAGATATAATGTCTTCCTTTTTGTTTTTCTTTTTTTTTTACAAAACGAAGGCCCGTCACAGCACATCACAGGACTCGTTACAACCCGACCGTAGTTGTTTGCGTGGGATACTCCCAATGCAGCTCTACCATCTGACATAGAGTAGGTGTTTACAGTTGGGCCGCGTAGCTCTCCAATGTGTTTCCGTCATGTACCGTGTGTTGTTCGGGATGGTGTCGGATGTTCCATTCCACGTGCTGAGAGCTACAGAGTGACCATGTGTTTTCCAAATATAGCCTTACTCTTCAACACTCAACAGCACGTGGTAGGTGGGGTTAGATAAGATTTGACTGCCGTACTTTTTAGCGTGACCATTAAACCACCATATTCATCATCAGCGATGATCAGTCCGCTGCTGGATGAAGACCTCTCTAATCTAATGTTATACTTATAGAGCGCCTTCACTCAAGACGCTTGACGTAGTTTGATAAACGATGACAGAATAGAATGATTTAGATGGCAGGGTCGTGCAAGGATTTATGAATGAGAGCCCACGATAGGGGGTACTTGGTGATCACAAAAGGGTCGGGGAGGGATGGGAAGGAGAGGAGGGGCGATGGGAGGGAAAAGGAAGAGAAGGGGCATGAGACAAGGGGTACGCTTTAAGCCGTTGCCATCTTCCATAGTCCTGTCATTTCAAAATCAAAGTCACCCCTGCATGCGAGTAGTTGAAATTGTCACTCCATCTCCACGGCGAATGCGAGCATTTTCTCTCTTGGCTGCCATTATGTTGTTATTCTGGACCATCGGCAATCATCCCTTCTAGCGACGTGTCCCGCCATGGTCCACTTTCATTTCTTATCAGTCAAAATGAGATCTGTCTCGAACTTACCCATGTTCTCGAGAACATGTGTTCCTCTTTCTGTCGCCATGAGCAATTCCAATAATCCATCCCTCCATGCCAATAGGACATTACGTGTGCACATAGACGAAGCACAAAGCTAATGCTATATTTTTTTCACGGAAAGTACAGCAGATGGGCTGCAACTATGGGTGACTTAAACCATTACCGACAAAGAAACGGTGCTGTATAAAGTCTACTCGTAGGTAACTGTTTTTGATTCAATGTAATATTGGGGGAGGCAGTGATGCAGTGGTTAGCTCTGAACCCGGCATCCCGAGTTAAATTTCCTGCCACGTCAGACACTAATGGCGAACGATATCTGAATCAGTCCAGGACTCCACTTTTACCAACCAGCACTGATCAGCATGATGAAATACAGTCAAACAACCCCCATGTCTAACACAGTGTGGAGAGCCCTTCATCCCCCATCAGACAGATACAAGGCTGAATATTACAATTATTACTTTAATGATTATAAACCAACAGTATTACTTTAATGGTACATTTTTAAAACACAACTTCATTGTTTTACTGCAGACGAATGCAAATTCAGATGCTCTTTTAAACCACTGCAAAGACCCAATCATACGTGGCTGATTACCATTCAGAATTATTGTCCATTACATTTAAGGATATGAAGAAAATCGAAGCAACCATTAACCATGTAACATGCCGTGGCGTTTCTATTTTAAATGTATATATTTTTTCCCAACAATACAACTTGAATGGAGTATCTGAAACATTAACAAATATGCCTGTTGTAGACGGGGTATGAACTCTGAATCGTCCCAGTATAATTGTAGTCATGCAGTGCACAAATAAAGGCCCTTGGCACAAAGCACCATAGGCATTATATTATTATTTCTGCCACCGCACTCTCAAGTTGAACAGAGGTAATTCACAGCGCATCTTCATTTTCTGTTTAAACGTAATTGAAAAACGGAAAGGTCCTTGTATCCCATTGTACGTGTAGTGGGCCGCCGAAGAAAAGCTGGGACATTTTCCACCCTTTGTTCACACTATTACAAATACGTCCCTTTATAACCATGTTTTTCGGTCTGTAATCAGAGCCTTCATCTCTCTACCCTGCAAGCCACAGCTGTCTTTCTCCACTTAATATCAAGTTTGGAGACAGAAGAGAGATCCCTCTGTCCTTGCTTGCCGTAATTGGAGTACGCCGATAAGAAATAAACTACAGGATGCACGGTAAATGCACACTTTGAGTGAATGATGCCTTCAGCATTAATATGCTATCTTCATGCTCCCTTAAAATTATTTCCAAGATCTATTTCACATTCCTAAACTTAATGGATCCATAACTGTACAAACTATGTGCATCTTTCAGTTATTGTAAAATATGAGGGGGTTATTAAAAAATATGAAGTCCACGGTCATTATCGTGCTTAAAAGGCTCTTATTTATCGGGTGTAACCAAATCTCCAGAAATGCGAAAATTTCGAAATGACCCCTAATCAGGGAAATATTTGATGTCAGATTGTCTTTCGACAGTCACCAAAATGTTTGACTTTATCTCCAAGGCACTGAATGCAGGTCCTCATCGGTCTAATTTCACTTAAATCAAACTCTCATCATCCTGATAAGATCTCAATTGGTATCACTGCAACGAAGAAAAGCACTTCCTACGAACGCAGAAATCCTATTTTTATCCATGAAGGAAATAAAGTAATGCGTAATTACGGGACCCAGAAAATAGGAAACAATAACGAAAGGTATCCACTAAGTGCAAACCCCTGGATTATAATTATTTTTTTGCAATTTAAAGAAGGCAATATTTGGTGATTGTGTTGTGCCAATATGGACAAATAGATGCTATGAGCCGGGCTGTGGAGTTGACAGCAGCGGAGGGCAGAAGGAGTGGAGTGCGACTGAAGGTGAGATGTAAGGACGTGGTGGAGCGAGGTATGAGCACAGTGGCTGTGACAGGAAAGAGGCGCAGTGCAGAAGCACATGGAGAAAGAAAATCCTAGTCACTAACCCCATGCGGCAATGGGACGTTTGGCTTAGAATAGCTGAAAGTTATGCCTATATGTCCACTGTATTATGCGGTGGTTAAAATTATTCGAGCCAGTAATAATCACAATCCGTGAGGCTAAGCTGAAACTAATGATGATGAAAAGGTTGGAACTGACAAAAAACATTTCTGTAACCTTATACGTACGGCGTATGTTTTTTCATGCAAACAATCATCATTGGCCGGTTAAATATATTTACACCGACGTACGAGGGTTACAAGCACAAGTGAAATGTTTACCTTAATGTCGAGCAGGGGGTCTGGGTGCTGGACACTTCTTGAGAATTCCCCAGCCACCTCCCCCTTGTGCTTAACAAGCCAGTGCTTGCCATCTCGGCTCACCTCTCCCACCCAATTCTTCACGTCGATACAAAAGATTCCCTTCCCTGGCAAGAGACGGCAGGGCCGTTGATTACGCGACGATGCCAAAAGCCACATACGGCAGCGAGCACTGGCTTGATTATCAAGGAGAGAAAAGTGTGCACACACACACATCCGCGATCAGACAAACCCTGCAAACTACTATTGCGATGTGGGAAAAGACGCAGAGAAGATATGACATACCGGGAAATAAATAAATAAATATGCACTGCATTGATCAATAACACCATGACCTTAAAAGGAACAATGCGTAACAGGTGATGTTTTGGGCAATGTTATGTGCTACGAAGGGCCATTGCCCAATACGTGGCCTATAATAATTTTTTCCTTTTAAGGCAGTGCTATCAACGAATATGATGAGTTTCCTTGTCAATTGCACCTCCGATTAGCACGGGTGGCTACGTACGGTGCGAAGAAAGTTCAACATACATACACACACACCTACGTGACTGTGCTTGTGCACCGCTGCCAAAGGAGCATCACCAATTGATTTGTCCTGCATAGATTTCCGCGGTTCTATTGTATAGCTCTCAATTCAGTTGTTGGAGAAGCTCGCATCACGTGGAGCGAAACGTTGGACATTAGCACCGAGCAATCCGAGGTGCAACCAAATGAAGGCAATGTGGAGAAGCATGGTCACCATTGCCCTCGGACTGACCTGTGAGGACAACCAAACTGATTTCTTGCTTTACTTTTTGAAACCGGTCAGGGATTCGCAGACCACAGAAAATGCTGTCGTTTGTCATCTTGCAAACATTCCTAGTTGGGAGGAAAAGAAACGCCACGCGTGGTGAGATGCTCTCAATTACGGCATCGGGGCCACCGAAGCCTTGCACATGAATCTGTATTAAAAACAAAAACGAGTAGCTGGTCTAAGCCTGGTCACGAATGACTGCACACACAAAAAACACACACACTCGTGTTGAATTCGGCTAAACTCCGGTTCTGATATTTCAAATATCGGTTTGTTACGTGGCAAACATTACTCTCATGTGCAGAGTGGGTAGGAGAATACTGCCCTCTACTGTGCTGATCAGAGGTCACTTGAAGGCAAGGCCATAGCCATGGAGTCAACATTGGGGGGAGACCAAATCTTGCAGGGTGTCTGGGGGTCTCAACCCAGAAAAATATCTAAATTTGAAAACTAATTTCCTGCCAAAAATATTTTAAAAATTCACTAACATATGGGATGGACTTTTTATTTATTTTTTACAATAATGTCTAATAGTGTATTGTATTACATTGCTCTGTCTTTTCTTTTTTTTACCTTTTCTTGTTTAATTGTATGTAATCGCAGAGATTAGGGATTAATAAAGTACAACCATAACCACAATCATATAAACAGAAATCTCGGCATTGATTTATATGAAGGCCAGATATTGTGGCCAAGGTTTAGCAGATTGTTGTTTTTATTTACATAGCATGGCAATTTTTTATAGCAATATATGGGGGGGGGGGGGACATATTGAGCATATTTGAATATCCCCCCCCCCCCCCCATATATATTATAATTACGGCCTTGCTTGTAGGAATCTCAGAGCGAGCTCTGTTGATATCCACTTCCGTGGGCCGTCGTCTAACGCCAAGGGGCTGCGCTGTTCTGCGGGAGACCTCAATTGATGCCTCGTCTCAAGGCATGACACCGATGGCACAATTGGGATAAAGTTAGGGGGGGGGGTGGGGAAATTACCAAAAAAAATCTAACATAAGAGAAAAAAAGTAGCTGGCGAGATTTTTTTCTTACCGAAGATTTGTGGCCAGTTGTTGCAGGGCTTTCCGTTCCTGTTGCACATCTTCACTCTCCTTGTGACAAACAGGTGTGCTCGCCAGCTGCGCCTGCAGCAAGCGGTTGTTAATCTTCAACATGACTGCTGCAGAACTGGAAATCACACAAAGTCACAATGCAAGGAGCACAATAGAGTACAGTGTGGATAATGACATTGGGGAGTGGTGGCTCGGCGGTTAGCGCACTGCACTGGCGAACCGGGGTGCGTAGCCAATATGCATTTGTAGGTGTCCAGACACTCCCTACTATGTTTAAATATCTTTATTTATTTCATATAAAAGAAACAGCCACAAATGTTGCACCCCTGGTCGGCACAAAGACAAATATCCCTCCTTAAAGACGATTGGGGCAAGTGCTGTAAGCGAGCACCTATGAAGGCCAGCATGACACACGAGGGGGTGGGTGACCTGCACCGTGCCTGACCGCCTTTGTCTCCCCAGTGGTGATGTTTACACACCGCACCTGGTACTGATTTGAGGTTGAGTCGACCTTGGGGGGAGGCTCAGAATCGATTCAGATATTTGCCACGGCTATTGAACTCGGCTCGTTGGGTTAATAATGGGTGCCCTTGTGGCGAGATGTTATCTCCCTCGCCTGGTATGCAGGAGGTCATGGGTTTCAATCCAGACCCTGACGATGCCTGTGTATTTGGAGTTTGCATGTTCTCTCTTTCTCCCCGTGGTCGCATGGATTTTTCTCCGGGTTCCTCACAGGGTTTTCCCTCCACATTTAGACACGTGCGTTTATATTATTTGGCTGATATAAACACATTTCCACATGATAAGCCAGTCAGTTGAGCTTTTGTTTGTGGCCTAATAGCTCAGTTGGCCTTACCTGGTAAAATAAGAAAATAGTTAAAAGTATGAATACTCGAAGAGGCATCAGCAGATACCACATGCAATGTTGACACTTCTACATGAAGAATTCGGCCAAAAGTCAGCTCCATTTTAACCACGTGCACATTCTTAGAGCAGCAAGTCAGAAAGCCAAGTCACACGCAAACAGTAACACAAACCTCTAACGCTGGGAACACAGGCCACAAACAACCTAAATATAGACAGAGGTTGTGGCATACTGCTTGGGTTATTGCGGGCTATCATATATGCACATCAATTACAAATGCCATGGGATGTTGAGTCTCGTGCCTATTCTAAAATAAGGATTCATGGAAAAGGATTTGTTTTCCCGGCAGTGGGCGCAGTATTAATTCCATGTTTGTTTACCATGCATCAGCACACACCATTTTACCCTCATAAATGATAATATTGCGGGTCGTTATCAAACCACTGCTGGATGAAGGCCTCACCATGCTATACGACAGTCATGGGGTATTCTTTAAACATACTTCACCACGTTGGTCAATGTGGGTTGGTGAAGACGGGCGTCCAGGACTGGTTCAGATATCACTCGCCACGAATATTAGCCAAGGCCGGGATTCAAAATTAGGTTGCTTGGCTCATTGCGTAGCACACTAGCCACTGTAGTGCCACTGCATCGCCACACATTATCAGCAAATGTAACATGATTAACATGTCTGTGATTTCAGCAGTTTACAGTGCACGAACATGTGTTTATTACATTTATTCAATAGTGCGCATATGTTTAAATACAGAATTAAATTGAATCACAGAAAAAGAAACACTTGGATCAGAGAATACAGTATATTCATAAAGCCTACGTATTAAATACAGTATATGGTGGTTAAATGCATAATTCAAACGGGTTAAGAAAAGTAAGTTTGTTCGGGCAGGACACATCAGCCAAGGAATGGAATATATCTTGAGAGGATTTTCACTGAAGAGATTAACGGATGAAATCAGCTCATGTGCAGGTGGTACAGCATGTGACTTGTTACATTGCAGGACTATGTATGTGTGTTGAATTTCTTTCGCACTGTACGCAGCCAACCGTGCTAATCAGAGATGGCTTGTGGAGACCTTCAACCAGCAGTGAATTGATCATGGCTGAAGATGATGTATTAAAATGCCCCTCGCTTAGAACTTACTCAACGGGTAACAAAAGATACGATTGTAATTTAGTTGGCATCATTTACCATTTATTTACCCACTCATTAACTACCCCAACATACGTAACTTCAAACTCTTAATGGCTTTATAGACGGTACATCTTTGAGTCAATTCATCTCAAATTTACTGCATAGTGTAGTGGGATTTCCAAGAACACAGCGTATGCAAGGCACACGTGTGTGATGGTAATTTTGGGTCACTGCAAAAGGCAATTAAAGCTATAATTAATGTATACAATAGAGTAATCATGCATATACCCTTTCCAGCCCCTGTTAAGTAATCCAGTCGAAGGCACCTACAATTTATGGGCACAATAACATGCACTGTGTAAGGAGTAAGGAGGTTTCTCTATGTTCAAGTTGAAAGTTATAACTGGAAAGAAAACAAAAACCCCACAATATATGGAACAGAAACAACATCTCAATCACCAGACCAGCACCTTGGTGATACTTGGTATTTAGGTCTGCATTATTGTAATGATGATGCTGATTGCTGGTTATTGAGACTGTTAGAGAAGGCAAAGACTTGGGGAGGCCTTCATCCAGCAGTGGGTTGATCATGGCTTATGATGGTGTGATGATGATGATGAAAAAACTGAACGAGGGGTGGTATTATTTTAATATAGGGCACAATGAAGGGTGTACAAATGGAGCATATGCATTAAAGTGATCTTTTTTTGTACATAGATCAATGTCCTAATGGGACAATGAGTGTAAGCACTGGTGGCAGAACAGGTGGAACTTGGGATGAATGGAAGAGTGCACGTTAATATGAATAAAGAGATGCAAATCAAATAGAGGCACAAAACCACGTGAAACACAATGGCACTCCAAGGAGCAATTCAACAACAAGACACTTTTAAATCTGGATTGAAAAGTATTTTTTAAACTGCTTTTTGTGTTTAGTTTGTTGTCCTCCGATTAGCGCGGTTGGTTACATACGGTGCGAAAGAAGTTCAACATGCATACAGCAGAACTATGTCAATATTCATACCAACATGTATCAACCATGATCAATCTACTCCTGGACGAAGGCCTAACCAAAATGACTGCCATGCTTCACGGTCCCACAATGCATCACCCACCCACCACCTGCACGCAAGCCAAACCCAATGCTCCATCTCTACGGTGGATGCACCGAAGGCACTTTCGTTTCATTGGCTGCCACCTAGTCATTATTTTTGCCCACCGGCTATCAACCCTTCGAGAGAATTAACCAGAGGCATGTAATGGCCCTTTATTTTCCCAGAAAAGCCTCATAGAGTCTCAAGACTCTTTTTCAGTATGGTGCTGCTACTTTGGGATGTCTGGCCAATTCCATTATTGACTTGTTTGGTTTAATGTTGGAATAAACAAGAGAAAACCCACCACACATATGATGGGGGGAGGGTTAACACGAAAAGCTCTGCAAAGATATACGCAATGACCCACTGCTGTATTGCCATCTCCTGGCCACCTTGCAGCCCTGGCCTGCAACCCTGGTGCACCAGGCAGTCTCTCATCCAAGTACTCACCTGGCTAAACAAGGTAGTCTCTCATCCAAGTACTAACCAGGCTCAACCCTGTTTAGCTTCTGGAATCTGCTGAAGTTGGGCACGTTCAAGATGATTTTGGCACCGTCAGTGGACATGCAATACAAAACGGGGTCACGTGGTGTTTGTAAAAAAAAAAGCGTGAGTACTATTACTTAATGGCTACTTTCCAGGTATGTCGGCTTCAGTGCTGATATAGATCTCAGCTCAGCATATTTCAGCCTGGTCAGTAATTTGATGGAAGATGGCAATGCTGTATCAGCACTGAAACTGATCTTTCTGGTCACGATATTTTCCAAGAAAGGCAATCAAATCGAAAGACTTAAAAGTAAATTACGTTAGCAACTAATACTAAATTAATAAAAAAAAATGAACGGCGCTCTGTCAATCCACTGCTGGAAGAGGGCCTCCCCACTACTCTGTGGTTTATTTGACCATACTTCAAGCTGGTAAGTGCGGGTTGGTGTACAATTGGGAGCATAGGTGCACATCATTTTTATTGCATCGCCCTCTACTGCCCACCACGTAGAATCGCAGCCTACAACACCTGTTTATGAGTGGTTGCATGTCACTAATAAAATCACTATCCAGGCGTCAACTTGCTTAGCTTCCGAGATCTGACAGGATCGGGCGCATTGTTGGTAATTTTGTCATAGGCAGCAATAAGAAAACAAAAGAACAAGAAAAATCTTCAGAAAATAAATCAAATAGGCAGAAAAATACAACGGTAGCAGACGTAATATAAAGATGCATTATGAAATAGCCCTACCTCTGACATGAGTAGCCCTAATCTGCACTGACTGCTTCAGTCAGATGTTTGTCAGGCTCAGCCGACAGTATTTTCCACAACACAAATACGCCCACTAACCAAAACAAGCTACCATCAAACAACGTAAAAGCAGACAGCCCATATAATATTTCGTGTATCCTTACACGGCACCACATACCCTCTGGAGCAGCGGTTTCCAAACGTTCTTTCTTAAAGTGTTTCAACTCGCAGACTATACTCGCTATTTGAAATCGTACATTTCCTTCATGAGGGATGTAATTATTTGTCTTTTCCGCAGACTCACTGGCGTAGATTCGCGGACTACCAGCGGTTGCGTGAACTACCAGCGGTTGCGATTACAAGCAATTGCAGGGCTGCACCTTTGTACTCACGCAACCCCCCATTAAAGCCACACAGTGAGATTATATAAACATGATACAGAAGCCGGATTCACCAACCCGCATTGACCAGCGTGGTGAAGTATGACCGAACCGAACCATCCCCTCCCATCCCACGACAAGTACGGCATGGTGGGGAAGCAGCCACCACCCCCCTCATCATCCAGCAGTGGATTGACAGAGGTCTGAGCAGGTACAACAACGTGTGCCCAACTCACACTGCCAACAACAACAACAACAGCAGCACGTGTTGTCAACCAATAATAACTCCTTACACCCAGAGCACGTGGAGCCGCTCAATTAAGCCGAGGAGCGAGCAGCTGATAACCGTGTTAATTGTATCACTTTTGTCCTCGTTTACTGCCATGAACACAAAGATTTCCAACACACCACCACCACCCCCCACCCTCCCGAAAGACAACCGCGGACCGCCGGGCCAGGCGCTGTTAGCGAGCACCTATGACTTCACGCAGCAGCAACACCAACACCAACAGCCCGTGTCTGTGCGCACTGGGGTTGTCGTCTGGAACCACGGCCGTCTATCGGGTTCGCCTTCGTCGCCTCTCCCCAGTGGCGATGCTGTACGTGCGCACGCTGTGTCCCGTGCACCTCCGAGACACCTCACACACGCGCGCAGATAAGAAGAGTACGGGCGGTTCCGACTGAACGTTACCTTCCCACCGCTCCGCGGCAGCTTGAGCTCGGGAGGGACAGAGCGCAGACTGAGTGGCGGGCCGTCCGATGTGCTCCGGCCAGCCGGTAAACAGAGTTGACGTAGCCCGAGCGATGAGGATACGTGACGAAGCCAGGAGCGGCGCGCCAACGTCATTTATACAGAAATAAGCACTGCGGCTAACGAGTGCGCTTGCTGCTTATCGAGGACGCGTCGCGCTGCAAAGTTAAGCAACGAGTATGGATGGCTGGGCAGGAAAACACATCGGTCCCTTCAGAGATGTCAACTGTTGTGTGTGTGTGTGTAGCCCAGTGGTCGAGACTAACGACGGAGTGACAGCCGAAGGAGGGAGCACAGTCGGGGCGATTAAATGAGTTTCGTGTGTAGGTGATGCACCGGGGTTGTTACATCCGCGGGACAGTGAGAGTTGGCGACGCGGTTTGGGTAGGGCTTCATCCAGCAGTGGATAAGGTCATCGCGGCGAATAATTATGATGATGATGATGACGAGAACGCATGCAAGGATTCGCCCACCCAAGATTCGATCAATTGTCACGAATCGGTGTTGCGATTCCACGTACAAACATCGATAAAGTCACGTAGAATGGAAATAAAATAATACAAATAAAACATAATAAAATAAAATATGTTTTTTAATTATTTTATTTCTATTCTACGTGGTGACTTAACCGAAAGAACCAAGAAGATGGATCCCTGCAGTCACGAAAGCTTTAAATCGAAACATCGATGAGTTTATGTATCGGTTGCATTCGCCTCCTTGCATTGGGGTATCCAGCGTTGTTTTAAGTTGTCGTTAATACCATTTGAATAAAGGTAAATCAATGATAAATGCGCAGCCCTGCTATTACTTTCGACCCTGACGCTTGTATATTTGGAGTTTGCATGTTCTCCCCGTGGTCGCGTGCACTTTTCCACGGGTCCTCCGGTTTTTCCCCACCACATTTAGAAACACGCGTTTAGAGTATTTGGCTGCTTTAAATTTTCCACGCGAAAAGCCAACTTCGTTGAGCAATCATTTGTGGCCAGGTCGCTTCTGACCTGGCCACAAAAGAGCTGTGTAGCTCAGTTGGCCTTACCTGGTAAAATAAAAAAAAATAGTAGTAGTCGTAGTACTTACACGACTGTTGTCAGAAGGGCCACCACTAGAGAGGCATCTCTCGGGAGCCCGCTTCTTGAGGGTGTTTGGTTTACTTTTCCATGCCGGTCAGACGTCTTCGCAGAAGTGGGGAGTGCTCACACTTTGCTGCAGCACAGGCGACCTGCCGACTGAGTGTGGCAATCCAATTTCTATTCGTGGTTTTATAGAGGCGGGGTGGAGTATTTGAGACACTTGCTGTATTCCTTAAACTGCCGCGCCGAGAAATCGCATTGAACCGACGATCTCTGAATTGAAAGTCCAGCGCGCTATCCATTGACACCGATCAGGAAATTATTATCACGTGAAATGTATTTCTGTATGTATAGTTGCATTCAACTTCTGTATTGACAGCAAGCAGAGCAGGTTATAGGATGGATACACCGTGTTTTAAAATAGTATTTTGAAGTTAGTATTATTGTTTAACATGTGTTGTGTTTCATAACACTTTTGAGACGGCACTCGGATACTTGAAGTCATCGGCAGTAAAACGCCTCGGGGTGTTTTTTTTTAATCAACACTTTCCAGGAAGAAAAAAAAAAGCTGTAATGCATTAGCTCTGTCCGTCTGTAACGTGGGGGCAGGATAACTCGCGTAAAGGTTATCCAATGTGAACGAAAATCTAGTATGAAGTAGTGCTGCTGTTAGGAACGTACCCGATTGAAAACCGGACAAATTGATCAAAAGGTGACTGGAGCAAGGTGGTGGGGGTCTGAAAAATGAGCTGCAAGCAGGGGGCAAAACACGAAATGTCACCCCCTGCCCCCCCCCCACCGCCTGTATCAGCGACTGGTCTCATCCGGCCCGTGAGCAGTTGCACCGCCTGCACACTCGATAGTTACATCACCCAGTTAAGTGCCGAGACCATTGGTTGTTCTTTCTCGTTGATGATCTCCCAAATATGTCCTGATCTACCTAAGACGTTTATGATATGAATGCACATTTTCATGAACTTGCTCATTATAACGTTTTTTTTCGCTCGAAGCCTAACCCTAGAAGATAACTGGCAGAGCACTAACGAGAAGAATAACATCAGCCTCGAAGCTAACAACATCACTTTTATATTGTTCTAGGTATATTTCGACAGTCGTATATCAATATGGGATTTTTTTTTTGTTTCCACTCAAGCATCGTGTGATTGAAGCTCAACGCTATGAAACATTCCATTAACCTCACAGTCGCCTCTCCCTCCCTTAATTCCCTATCCATACACATTCTACGGTAAACAAGGAGCTCGCTGTGCCATATCGAGCTCCAATGCAGGCCCATATTAAAAACTAAATAACTAGTTGGTAAAAAATAATGCATATGCAGTATTACGTAACGATTTCCAACATGTGCTTGGAAGTATTTAATTTGTATGGAAGTCGGTGGGTAGTTGTCAGGGTAAATGTGTTTGTATACTGTCCTATTTGCTATGGTTTGTCTCCAAGTTCTGTGCAGCCCTTTTATTAATTTGGCCATTGTTATAGTCCCTAATCGCAACACAACTTAATGTATGTATGTTGAACTTCTTAATACTGAAGTTTCCGTCATATTGGAAGCACCTCCCCCCTCACCCCAGAAGGATGGACAGAGCGAATTCATTAACACTTTTAATCTTAGTTCGAAGGAATTAACAAGGATTTATCCTTAAGGTAGTGACTATAACTTAATTCTGAATTATGATTTAGCACCAACACATGCTGCATGAACTGCTCTGAGGGGCAGGGATATGCAGCACATAGGCCACCAATCACAACTTAATGCTCAGAACAACATGGCATCGTGGCCAAAGCTGTTGATGTCACCACACTTTGCCAGCGGTTTCTATCTTCTGCCAGATCTTGCAGCTGCTACACAGTAGATACCTCCAATCTCCAAAATCTTCCTGAAGAGTATCTCACCAATGAAATCTGTAAATGAGGAGAAAACCCATCATAACAGGAACATCAGTGCAGTATCACACCATTCGGGTGTTAGGTCTTCTCCTTGGTTGTCAGAATTCGTGGTGAAGATTCCTACACCCTGCCCTCAATATGTGAAGGAATATTACATGCAGGTGAAATAACTTTTTACAATTACACTCGTTGACTTTGCCTGACAGAGGCCACAACAATTGGCCTCCTGATAGATTGCTTCTGGCCACGTGTGTGCAGATGTGGGATTGTGGCGGATAAAAAAAAAAACACATCGCACTTTGACATGTTTTAAACCTATTTGATAATCCAACGTAATCTCTCAGAGAAGCTCCTCGGCCATAGGCGTTCATAGCTAATGTGTGATAACATCATACGATGGATTATGGCGTAGATCTCAGGGCAACAGCCACATCTCCCTCTGGCCTTGTCCCATAATGCCAGTGGAAAACCCACTTGATTAGCTAAAAGTCTCTTAGCTGCGAATGTTGAACATTTTGTCTCAACCTCTTTTGAGGGAGACTTTCATAGCAGAGTACGTCTACGTAAATCTCACTGGGAACTGAGATGTGTGAAAATGTTGGATTTGTGAACATCTGTAGAAAATTACAGTTCTACCTTGCACACTTACTGCAAGTGGTCGTCGTTTGGTTAGGGCGGATATGTGACGGTCGGATTTGTGACATTCTACTGCATATAGTTTTCCAAGCCTTTTGAAACTGAGATTTGTCTTTATGTTGGCCGGGCTGCACCGTAATGGTGATGATACTTAAGAGGAAAACGCATATATTGCATGAAATGGGTTCACATCTCCCCTGCAGTCACAAGAGACACTACCATTATTTACATTTGCCATGATCTTTTTATATTAATAAAAATGCATTAACCTTTATAAAACCACGACTGTATGAAGGCCTCCCCATGCTCTGTTAGACAGGAGGGTTGTTTGGCCATGCTTCACCACGTTGGTCAGTACAGCTTGGTCCCTTTACAGCTAGAAAATTAAAGGCCACTCTCAGGTATGGGGGCACCAGCAGCTACCGGTTTTGCTGATAAGACAGGACCTGTGCTGTATTTCATTTTGCACTTTCCAGCACACTGATATAAGGGTCTCACTTCCATCGATTGGAGGGGGCCTCGGCATTGTAGAAAAAAAAATCCCTCCAGTGACCCCACTGCAAATCACATTCCATTATCCCACTGCTGATCACTGCCCAATGGAATTTGCAGTCACGTCAAACAACGGGACACCTCTAGAACTCCCAGCATGGCACATAAATGAAATGATGTAATGCATCGACATTGTAAGTGAATCATACGTGTTCTTTTATTAGGAGTCACTAGGACTTACAAGCAATGGTTTGGTGAGGGTTGAGAGCTGGGGATTTCCAGAAAGGCTTTTTCTCTGTTTAGCCAGACGCCAGCGTTCTATTATTATTTGTCTCATCATAATCATTGCTATTGTCACAGCAAAGTGTCAACAGCTGAAAACCAACACACAAGGTAACCAAATCGGCATCGGCAGAATTATAATGTGAGGGTGGAGTGGTTGTGCAGAAATTAGCGCACTCCACTGTGAACCCAATAAACCTGAGCTCGATATCCATCCATGGCTAACCATCAGTGGTAAGTGATATCTGAGCCGGCCGAGCCCTGCCTCCTTCACCAACCTGCTCTGATTAGCATGGTGAAGTATGGTAAAAAAAAAAAAACCTCGTTAACTGACAAGGTGTGGACAGCCCTTCAGCCAGCAGTGGATTGATGAGGGCTGTATTATAATTATTATTATTATAGCCATGAACCACATCCAATGACATTCTGTCTAGTTGTGCTTGCATGGATCTATCCAACTCCATGTGGGCCCAGAGTGGCTGCATCTCGGACAGGAATGAGAAGGAAAACCCCTAGCGATCTGTGTACACAAGAAGCGCAGGACTTAAAGATTTATGCCGCAGTAATGTGTATTTACTTATTCAGGAAAGGAGAATTGCAAGTGCCTTAGCGCTGCCAATCTTCCCCTTAGCTACCACGCCTTGGGTTCCCACCCAAGCTAAACATCATTCATCATGAGTCCTTAGGCCACCTGAGGCCAACACCAAGTTACAATCAACTTTGCTAATTGCTACTTAAAGAGAACTCTTCACTGAGAACAGTCCTAAAGCTACACACTCCAGTTTGTCTCGTAATCATTCACATGATTCATTCAAAACACATACACATGTAATTGAATTGTTTTTAAGCTATCCCTGTTTAGAGTAACAACCCTTAATTAAGCAAAAGCTTGAGGATACTTTTTAAAAAGGACACTAATAGCTACCAGAACAAGATCAGTGT